GTTAGTAATGAATGTCCAAAGATTAAGCTTTTCCACTCAGAGAGTGAGTCTTTAATTTTGTGTTGTGCAGGCTGCTGTGAGTACTATTCTACTCATTATATACAATTGTTCTGATCAAATCCTTACAACGAGGGAGAGGAGGCAGGCGAAATCAAGAGAAGCAGCGGTGAAGAAAGCGAAAGCTCGTCAGCGATGGAAAGCTGCTGCTAAAAAGCATGTAAGTGGGATCCGAGATCAAATAACTCGGACATTTTCAGGTAAAATAGCCAGTCAAGATGGAAGTAGTTTCAAGAGGTTGGGTCATGGGGACTCTTCTGAGGTAGATGAAGATATAGAGATGTCCAAATATTCAAGTCCTGCGAGTTCCTCTGCGGCACAATCTAGTTATGAGATCGAGGATGATGCAAGAGCAAATCTTGAAATAGGAGGGAAGAGAGTAAAAGGACATACTGTGGCCAAAACTAAGAAAACACAAAGCCAAATGTACAGGTATGCGTATGATCGGATCGAGAAGGAGAAAGCTATGGAGCAAGAGAATAAAAATCTTACCTTTTCAGGAATAGTTAAAATGGCTACTAACTCGGATACAAGAAAGAGGCCTCTCATGGAGCTTTCTTTCAGAGATTTAACTCTTACCTTGAAATCCAATGGTAAGCATGTGTTGAGATGTGTCACAGGAACCATGAAACCAGGTCGTATCACAGCTGTTATGGGTCCATCAGGAGCAGGAAAGACAAGTCTTCTTTCTGCTTTAGCCGGGAAAGCCGTTGGATGCAAATTAAGTGGTTTGATTCTTATAAACGGGAAGCAAGAATCGATCCATTCATATAAGAAAATCATTGGTTTTGTGCCACAAGATGACATTGTTCATGGTAACTTGACAGTTGAGGAAAATCTTTGGTTCCATGCTAAATGCAGATTATCTGCAGGTCTAACGAAAGCTGACAAAGTTCTTGTGGTTGAGAGAATCATCGACTCTTTGGGGCTACAAGCTGTGAGGAATTCTTTAGTTGGTACCGTAGAGAAGCGAGGAATCTCAGGAGGGCAGAGGAAACGAGTTAATGTTGGTTTGGAAATGGTAATGGAGCCTTCCATTTTGTTTTTGGACGAACCTACTTCTGGTTTGGATAGTGCCTCATCGCAGCTTCTGCTTAGAGCACTTCGGCATGAAGCCCTCGAGGGAGTCAATATTTGCATGGTGGTTCACCAACCAAGGTATCTTGAAAACAAGTCTCAGTTTCAAGAAAATTTCTTTTAAGTCTTTAGGTGTCATGAAGTTTTTAATTCTATATTGCAGTTATACTTTGTTCAAGACGTTCAATGATCTACTACTTCTCGCGAAAGGTGGCCTTACTGTTTACCATGGATCAGTCAACATAGTCGAAGAATACTTCAAGGGACTTGGAATAATTGTTCCAGAACGTATCAACCCTCCTGACTATTACATTGACGTTTTGGAAGGAATTGTTATTTCAGATGGGAATTCTGATGTTGGCTACAAAGAGCTTCCTGAAAGGTGGATGCTTCACAAAGGGTATTCGGTGCCATTCGATATGCGGAACAACAGTGCTGCTGAACATGAAACGGATCCGGAGATAGGGAATAATCCGAGCAACAATGCAGAACAAACATTTGTTGGAGAGTTGTGGGGAGATGTGACGGGTAATTTCAGGTTACGTCGTGATAAAATACGGCATAACTTCTTAAAGTCCAGAGATTTATCCCAAAGAAGAACACCTTCTATGTTGCTCCAATACAAATATTTTCTTGGAAGGTATACTTGTTACACTCTCCATGGCTTTCTTTTGATCAATTGATTCTTGGATATTGTAATAAAGCAGATTAATGTTCTTGATTTACAGGATAGCTAAGCAGCGAATGAGAGAAGCTCAATTACAAGCTACAGACTATTTGATCTTATTGCTAGCTGGAGCTTGTTTAGGATCACTGGTCAAAGGAAGTGATGAGAGCTTTGGAGCTGCTGGTTATACCTACACTATTATCGCCGTTTGTAAGTTAGAAACATTCTTCTACACAAAGTTTTCGAGCAAGTTTCTTCATTTTCTTATTGGTCTTTTTGTTCTGTTTTTTCTTCTTCTGTCAGCTCTTTTGTGCAAAATAGCAGCTTTAAGATCATTCTCACTAGACAAGTTACATTACTGGAGAGAAAGTGCTTCGGGGATGAGTAGCTCGGCTTGTTTCCTTGCCAAAGATACAATAGACTGTTTCAATATACTTATCAAGCCATTGGTTTATCTCTCCATGTTCTACTTCTTCACGAACCCAAGATCCACATTTTTCGATAACTACATTGTTTTGGTCTGCCTCGTATATTGTGTGACTGGTATCGCATATGCGTTGGCTATCTTCCTCCATCAGAGCTCCGCCCAGCTGGTGAGTTTTCATTTCGGTTTCTTCCCTTGGAAGAAGAATTATCCTCTCTGCCTACTCTAAAATTGACAAAACTTTTTTCGGGTCTTTGCAGTTTTCTGTTCTTCTTCCAGTCGTTTTAACACTCGTTGCAACTCAACCGAAGAATAGTAAAGCAATGAAGATCGTAGCTGATTTATGTTATCCAAAGTGGGCTTTAGAGGCATTTGTGATTGGAAATGCTCAAAGGTATGAAAACATTTCCTTATTTTCGCGTGAAAAGCTCGGTTTGATTCATACATATTATCTGGTTTTGCTTTTGGGGTTTCAGGTACTATGGAGTATGGATGATTACTCGATGTGGATCGCTTATGAAGAGTGGCTACGATATTAATGAATGGAATATATGTATAATGATATTGCTTCTCATTGGTGTCGTCACTCGTGGAATGGCCTTTGTTGGGATGATCATACTTCAAAAGAAGTGAAGAAAGATCTTTCCTTTTCGGTTTCAATCCGCTTGTACCTCGCGTAGGAGAAGGGCTTCGCGGTTCTGCGGTTGGTCCAAGATTATAGCTTTCTTGCTAAAATTCTTTGTTCATCTTAAGTTTATTCTTGTCTTAGAGTATAAGATCATTTGTGACATCAATATTGGTTTTTTAGATCCAAAAGAAAGTGTTGGTGTTTAGCTAATCTATTAGCTCTTATAAAAATATTTGGCTTGTTCTTAGATTTTTGGAATAGTTTCTAACTAAAACATGACCAATAACTTCTTCATAAATTGTTATAGGTGCCATAAGTTTGATTTGTCTTTAACACACACTATAATGCAAATTTAGCAATCAAATTTTTGATTAATTTTGGAAAATTACAAATAAAAACTAATGGAAGAATCTTTATACAGTATTGTATCATTGTCAATGGGATTCCATTAACTAAATTAGTCATCTTTTTTTTCGTTCTTTAATTACAACAAGATAATCTAATAACGACTTTTAAAGTTGATGATGATTAGTGCTATTCTTTTTTTCCTCAACCTGACTTGATTAACTTTTTAATTAAACCCATAATCATTATTAAAGTGCACAAACAAAGAATAGATTCTTTCAATCCAAAAGAATAATTAACGATGACGTGGCGAAATATGATTGGTTACACAACATTGGATTAAGAACCTTTAAAAAGCTTTTGCCTTTAATTAAGAAAACAGCGAAGCTAAAAAAAAACCACTTTTTTTTCCTTTTTTTCGTTATGCTCTCCAAAAAAAAAAAAAATCAGATCTTTATTTATCAATGTCATAAATCAACCAACACCGATTCATCGTCATCTTCAACTCGGTCTTTGCTGATCTTCTTCTTCTACCTACCGACATCTAAAATTTTTCTCGAAATTTCTGTAATTTGCTTTACCCAAAAGGAAAGTTTGAGACTTTGGTTTGGTTTCGATGAAGTTTCGACAAATTCTGGATTTTGTCTGAATTCTTTTGGGTTTATTTCCGAGAGATTTTTGTGTGTGTGTTTTACTTGAAGGGTTAAAGAAGAAGAAGAAAGAAAGATAAATGGGTTGTGCTGGATCGTCACAGTCTCAAGGAGGAGAAGGTGAGAGATTACTCTTTTCAATTTTTGTTGGGTTTGGTGAAGAAAAAAAAGTCATCTTTTTAGGTTTTGTTTGAGAAGATAAAGATGTGATTTTTGTCATAGCCATTAGGGATAATTGATTAAGAGAAAGCCCTAGATGTTTGAAACCTTAAAAAGTATGGATTTTGTTCTTTGAAATTTAGGGTTTATGTATCATCTGATCTTATAGGGTTTAGTGGCATGAGCTAGTTAGTGTTTATCCTCGAATTGATTTATCTGATGTTCCAATGAAGGACTTGGTTTTAGATG